TTATCTGTTTACTAAGTCATGTCTTTAAGTCATCTCTTTAGGCATCTTTAATATTTCTTTTGGCATGTTGACTTGCATGTTTTGCACTCGAGCACCTAATTTTCTGCATCATACCTTGCATAACAGGGAAGGTGGAAATGGGAACAATTTCACCCTTAAAAGTAATGATAGGGAATCTTTAAATTGATAACCACTGAACCACAAAAAAGCAACATAAGCTAAAAAATAATTTAGATATTTCCTCCAGAGAAAACACTCTTCTTTTAGAATTTTACTTATTTTTATTTTTTTATTTTTGGCTGCACTGTGAGGCTTGTGGGATCTTAGTTCCCCAACCAGGGACTGAACCTGGGCCCTGGGCAGTGAAAGTGCAGAGTCCTAACCACTGGATCGCCAAGGAACTCCCTTTTATTTTTTTGCTTTTTTTTTGAGAATTTTAAAAGAAGGAACTAATAGTTCCATTAAAAAAGAAAATACACAATTTTGTCGATACTTGAGATTATAATTCTGTATAATACACTTCTAAGTTATTTTATTTGGGAAGAAATATGAGGAGAAAGAAAAAATAAATGAAGGGGAAGAGAAAAGAAAAAAGCTAAAAGAAAGACTTAAACATAGAATATAATATACAGACAGAGACTGACAGGCTCAAAAAGAAAACCAAACACCGAGAAAGACGTACTAAAAGAGGGACAGATGCGCGTAACACGCGTCACTTACGTGTTCGTGTATTATCTATTATGTGGTAATATTTCCATCTTGTGGCCTTTTAGGGTATTTCCTCTAAAGGGTTTTAAAGTCAAATTATTGCTCATTATAAGCATAAATGGGAATCATCTCTTGGTATGTACTCTAAAGGTCAATTGAATTAAGCCGAAGACTAGAAACTAGAATTTCCAGAGCTTACATATGGTATCACTTTTTAGTACAGAGGGAAAATGGGATGGAATGCACAAAGCACCCCATTCACATAGATAATGAGGGACAGTTCACAGAGATAAGGTGCCTACTGCTTCTTGGCCACTTCCTGTGCTATGTGTAGGGAAGTCCAGGACCAATTGCTTTCTCTAACCTCAGTCATATTTTCTTATCTCCCCTCCATCTCCTCTGGCTCTCACCTCAATTCATCCCCTTCCTCCAAACTTCCTGGTCAGATCAATTCCATTTGACTTCTGTTATCACCATGGTTCTTTCACCATGCATGCCTTTTTTTTGGAGGGGGGTCACGCTGCACAGCTTGTAGGATCATAGTTCCCCAACCAGGAATTGAACCTGGGCCCCAGCAGTGAAAGCGCCAAGTCCTAACCAGTGGACCACCAGGGAATTCCCATGCATGCCTATTTTTTGACTAGTGAGTGGTTGGTGTAAGGTGGGGGAAAGTAGGAAGCATGCCTTGTGCACAATTGTCCTGAGAGAAGGAAGCAGGTGGTTCCTTACCTACTTATTTACATGATGTTCCATTCAAATTTGATCATTAGGCATATGACCCAGGCTCATCTAATCAGAGTCTAGAATACCCTGGCCAGAGTCATTTGATTCAAGCCTGCGTTATTGGGTAGAATAATTCTCTGCAAAGGACTCTATGTCATGTTATCAGGTCAAATCAACTAGATTGCTACTCATTCATTCCTTCATTCATTCACTTATTCTATGCGTATTCAGGTGTCAGGTGTTCTGGACACAGCGCTGAACAATACAGACATAGTTCCTGCTCGTATGAAGCTCAGAGTATTGCAGAGGAATCAGAGGGAAGCGAGAGCTGAGGAACTGTGTGAGGAGGGCTTGGGGTCTCTGTGGAGGTCAGGAGGGAATTGGGTGTTGTGTGCTCTTAAGTTACCTGTTGGTTGGTGTTACTTTAAAGGCTTATGACTTGATTGATAAATTTTAGGGGGAGAAAAGATCAACAAAAGAAAAAGATTGTGATTGGCCTTATTAAATCAGAAGTTTAGTTGATAAGAATCTATTTTGGTTAACTGAAGAGCTGTGGAAGATTAACTTGGGTATACATAAATGGCAAAAGTGAGGAAGAAAGCACGGTCAGCAAGTGTGTGTGGGTAGTATGATTTGAAAAGACTTCCAGGAGAAAGTGAATTTTGAAAAAGAGTTAAAAGCTCGTGGTGGACAATGATAGAGGAGACAAAACTTGATAGCTCTTCAGGTAAAACTACTGTGCCAAAAACTAATAAGTGCTTGTGGGGAGGTACCAGGCAGATTGGCTTATAAGAGAACTGAAAGAAGGTGGGGCTGGAATTCCAGGCTGAGATACTTGGATTAGATTGTATAGATTGTGTGAGTGATAGGTTTCCATGGAGGTGTTAGTAATGAGAGTGAAGAATTGTTGGTCCATCTCCTGATAGACAGAGACATGGCCAAGAGCTTAAATTCCAGAATGCCCACCCAACTGCCTGGGTTCCTAAGGCTTAAAGGAGACTTACAACAAGCACACAGGACACTTTGGGCAATGCCCACGTGTTGCTCCTCCCCAGAGCTCTGACCCTATTTTCCTGTCTGTCTCCTCTCCTGGATGAATTGTGCCAGACTGTGTGTGAGCCAGGAGGACACGAATTTACCTGTCTGAGGGTCAGCTGAGGTGTCTGTGTAGTGGCTTTTTATTTTGGCCACTTTGCTACTCTTTCCTCCTCCTTTCGGTAAGAGCATTCTGATTGCCCTTTGGGGATCCAACCCCCCCTCTTACTCTCAGTCTAAGTAGTTTGGGAGAATGCCACTCCTAGCTTCAGGGATGGACTTGTGATCTTAGGCTGTCTAATCAACGTGGTTTCTGGGACTTTTCCAAGAAATCCTGGGAAGTAAGGAGAGTCTAGCAGTAAGGATTTTATGAGCCTGAAGCTGCTGCAGAGGCTGAAAACTGCTAAGCCCAAGGAAAAGGAACAAAGAGATGAAGATGAGAGCATCTAGTTGTACCTGGAGTATTTCTGAGATTTTTCAGTATTGTGAGCTAATAATATTCCTTCTTTTGTTTAAGCCAGTTTGGTCTGAATTTTCTATTGCATGCAGCTGAGAGTCCCACCCTTGACTATAGCCTAATTCTTGGCTTTTTTTCTCATATGCCCATGTTTTGACCTTGGCCATCTGGATTTTACTTCCTTGTCTGGGAGAGGAGTCCCTGAAGAGCAGAACTGTCAAACTACCTACTGGAAGCCTCTTTTCCCTTCAATCCCACCCTGGGATTTTTCTTTAGGCTTTTTCCCCCCATAGGCTTTTCAAGAGGAAGAAGAAGAAGGAGAGGGAGACATGGAAGGGAAGAGAGAAAGACACTAGTATTTACTAAAAGACTGTCCCTTTATTCCTCTTTCTTAAAACTCCACTCCATAGCATCATGGCTCCTGAAGTCGTTTTGGTCTTTGACCTTCATTAGAGCACCCTTTCTTTGCCAGGCAGTGTGTGGGGTGCAATGCGAGGAAGGAAACTTTCAGTCCCTCATAAAGGTTAGAAACTTTAGCCAACAATGATGCCTGAGTGAGACGTCCCACGCACGAGAAGGGCTAAGAACTTGTAGGTCCTTTTGGCTCATTCTACCCGCCTAGACCGTCACTCCTCATCCCATGAGAATCTCTAAAGTGACTGACATAGGATGTACGTTCTTTGTTTCTTGGCATCTTTTCCCAAGGGTTTGTGGTGGTTGGGTTCTGTATGCAAAGCTGGTTTCATTATCATCTTTTACTCAGTTGATTGATTAATTTGAGGCATATTGAAATCCTACTTAAAATAATCACCACCTATTTAAGAGTTTGAAAATTTACAAATTGCTTTTACATATATCATCTTATTTCCTCTTCAAAAGAAAATTGGTTGGAAAGTAGGCTGGGTATTAGGGTGATTTTACAGATGAGGAGACTGACTTGAGCAGAGCCGTGTCTTTCCTGAGATGATGCAGCCAGTAAGTGGGGGGGCCATAGCTGAAGCTGGAGGCTGAGTCATTCAACCCATATTCAGGGATTCACACCCTCCCCTCATGCCCCACCCCTCATCATGCACTCTCTGATAGCTCAGTCTGGGACTGAGGAAAATACAAAAGGAGCGTAAAACACGGTCTTATTGAAAAATCAAGGTACATATGCAAGACATGAACAGCTCCATGGGATATAAATTGGGCCAGACTTTTATCTTCAGAAGCTCTATGAAATAAAAAAGATTATGATGTCTCTCCTTCATATAATTGAAGAATACAAAACAAGTCTAAACTAAAGTGTAGGGATTCCACTTAAGTTTTTTGCCTCTCACTGTTGTGGCCTCTCCCATTGCAGAGCACAGGCTCCGGACGCACAGGCTCAGCGGCCATGGCTCACGGGCCCAGCCGCTCTGCGACACGTGGGATCTTCCCGGACCGGGGCACGAACCCACGTCCCCTGCATTGGCAGGTGGACTCGCAACCACTGCGTCACCAGGGAAGCCCAATCCACTTAAGTTTTGATTATTTTTTATGACAACTACTTCAGTGCTTCTTTTTGAAATATCCAATATCCTTTTAAGAAGAGTTTTTTCTGTGCCCTTGATTTGCTCGTGTCCTAAGCTTAGTTGACTTATGGGGGGGTCCAGCACATTATATTTTGAGTAATATAATGGCAAAAGTGGTGGCTAAACATAGTGACACTAGTTTTATGGTTTTATGCCCCTTGGTATATGGAATATAATAGGTACTCAAGAAATACTTGTTAAGTACAAGGGAACAATATATTTAATTTAAGCGCTATAAAAACACTCCACTCAGTACTAAATCTGTCCCAGGATATTTAAAAACATTTAGGGACCATACTCCTGATATTTTGAACCACTAGACTAAAGAATAGTTGAGCTCAAGGGTTCAAACGGATAATCAAATTAAATTACTATCAATTTTGCAGAAGTCAGTTGCTCAGATGTTTGAAAAGGCAAGTCGAATCCCAGGCTACATCTAGTGACCTCATTTAGATATTGGCTTTTTGAGGTAACCACTTTAATCTGTCTTGCTTGGATCAGTCTAACTCTGCTTTATTACACAGTGAACTTCTATCTAAGTGAAGGATGTACCTGCCAAGCTTCAACCTTCTTGATATCTGCACAGGAACCGTTGGTGAAGAGCCCTCTCCCAGGTATGCAGGTGTATATATCTTGCAGGGCATGAGCAATGGAGTAGACGGCTAAGTAGACATTGTAGGATATCCGTAAATGTGTATAATCCATGTAAGGGGTCTCGACACTACTGATGTTCTCATCCCCTGTACAGAGAGGTCGGAAGGCGGTGGAGCTGTTGCTTATCCTGCCACCACCTTCTTCGTGACCTCTCAGGAAGGTGTCCATGGGTAATGGTCCTTTAGCACCTTCTTGGAGGTGGCAGTTAAATGTTTCTTCCCAAAACTCCTTAGCAAAACCGTTGTGGACAGACTTCCTGGGATGGACTTTCTGCAGGAATTCCCGGAAACCTGGGATCTGCCCCGCCTTCAAAGCGAATCCAATGGTGCCTCCGACCACATGGAAGTACTCAGGCATGGCGATCAAGGAAGAGCTGGCCCAGGCCTCGCTGGCCAGCCAGATCCTACCCGTGATATTTCGCCGGACGATTTCCTTGATGAGGGGTTCCAGGTCTGGGCCACTGGAGAAGACGACGATGACTTTGGCTGTGGAATTCTGTATCACCTCCACCACTTGCTGGATCTCTTCCTCATCAGAGTACTGGGAGATGAGTTCGCTGAAGTCGATGCAGATATCCCTCTCCTCAGCTTCCTCTCGGAACTTCTCGATCCCTGGCCGACCATAGTCGTCATCAGCGGCAATTGTGCCCACCCAGTTCCAGCGGAAGTACTCGATGATGTCAGCCATGGCGGTGGCCTGGTGTTCATCATTGGGGATGGTACGCAGGAAGGACTTGAACTGATTTTTGTTGCTGAGGAGTCTGCTGGAAGAGGCATAGCTGACCTGGAAAGAACACAGAATGAGTGAGTGATTGAGGTGCCAGGTGAGCCTCCAGACTGTGTGGAGGAGGCTTTTTGAACATTCACTGATCTAATATATCAAATGCTGGTCACTGCAGACAGGATGAAGGAGTGAAGACAACCAGAATCTATTCCTCTCCAGTGTGAGCACTCAAGCATCTGTCAGTCTATCAAGGAGCATTCTAATTCCCAGCAGGTGATCCTTCACAATGCTACCTTCAAAAATGGGTCTGATCATAAAGTCAACCCAACAACAATAGGATCTACTTAACCTTTATGCACTGTTCCATAGTTTCTCCTAACTTCCTCTGTGCTGCCTCATTGGCTACAATATATCCGTGTACATATCTTCTGCCTGTGAGGTCCAGGTTCTCATTTGAACATTTTAGCTTCCCCTTTACTATAATGAACACTTTGTCCATGACTTCTGGAAGGAATCAGGTTCCCTTCGGGTTATGAACCTAAGGCTCTTTAGAGAAGCCTCTGGGGTTCCCCTTTCTTATTCTGCCTAGTTTATCTCTTCCAGTCTCCAGCTATTCCCTCTCTCCCCTCCCCTATCTCCCCACCTCCTCCACGCCAGAAGTACTTTATGACAATTGCAGTCATTTCTAAGAACGGTTTATTATTTAGGCTCAATTAGCCATTTAGGTTCATTAGGCTCAATTCCCCTTCATCACAATCATGATGATGTACATCATTAAATATAGTCAGAAAAACATCCTTTCCTCTCCTGGCTTCTCAGTGAGTTCAACCACCACCGGCAGCCCTTTCCTCTGTGCAATTTCAAGTGGTGGTCGAGGCCTCTTGACAGGCTTTTGTTGTGGGTCTCCAAAACCTAAAGAGGCTGAAAAGGAACCCTGGAGAAGCTGCCTTGATGTGTTTCCACTTTCTAGGACATAGCCAATACTATATTTGAGCATGGATGTGGGTCACCAAGGGTAGAAAGCCTTACCTTTTGTGGTAAAAGATTCTTGCCTGAAGAAGTATCCAAATATCATGTAAAGCATTCGTTGGTGCAGAGCTTCCCAATTTCTTTTCAAGTGGTGGCAAACATAGAAGGTGGGGTGAATGGAGGAGGCTGACCAGCCCTGGTGGGTGTGTTCTGACCACCCTAGACCCCACCCACCATCCCAGACCTGGAGAGGGTCAGTATCTCAGCCTATCTGCAGCACTCCTGTGTGTCTTGGCTCACCAGTTAGGAAGTTCCAAGTTATTGAACCATTTCTTCTGAAGGACAAAGTATTTTTATTTTAACTTGAGGTTTATTCATATTTCATCCCTGCATTCTTTCAGCATTTTTGCCATTAGCAGTCTTGTCTTTCAACTCTTTTTTTTTGAATTTTATTCATTTTTTTATACAGCAGGTTCTTATTAGTTATCCATTTTATACATATTAGTGTATACATGTCAATCCCAATCTCCCAATTCATCACACCACTACCACCCCCTGCCACTTTCCCCCCTTGGTGTCCATACATTTGTTCCCTATGAAGGACAAAACCTTTTTACACTGAATGGAAGGAACGTTTAATATCTCTTGTTCTCCAGTTTTCTAGAGAGATTTAAAACTTCTTAAGAATACCATGTTGAAGAAATTTGGGGGAATGCCTTTTTAATATTTTTCACTGATTGAAACAATTAGTTTTCAATGTTCAGTGCTTTAAAATGAATTCTTTCTATATATTTCTTCTTATTAATGAATAGTTTCTACAACAAAAACATAAAAGACATTGATACATGAAAGACCTGGTCCAACTTTGCTAATGAGCAGGCATTATTTTTCTGACAAGAGCTTTGATTTTGAGAGTTATCATATGAAAGTGATTTTTTTCCTTTTATTAAAATAAGCTCCTTCTTGCTCTACTGTGACACCTCATGAGGCAGGTAGTTAGATTAAGTAATTGTTGAGATGTTATTGTTTTTAGAGAGCTCTATTTGCAGACCCAAACAACAGGCTTCTTGATCAGGTTTTTGCAAATGAAAAGTCTCCTCAGGCCTTTTGTAAATTCACTCAGTATTGCTTACTTCTTGATACTTTTTTGAAAAATGGGCCAAAAAGAGTTTTAAAGATATAAAAATTACAAATAAACACATCCTCCATGGATATGTTTCTCTTAAAGAATGCATTTATAATATTTGTCCACTTTTTAAAAGGAAAACTATAAAAGTGGGGATAAATACCAATTCATTACCCACTCCCCCCCAAAAAAACCCCTTAAAAACACACAAAATTTTTTTATTGTAAGAGGGGAGAGTTTCATGAATGATTCAGAAAACTTCTAACCACAACTTGTTCTAGCTGGTCTGCTTGTTCCAGCCACTTGGTGGCGTGAGTGGCATAAGAAGTTCAACTGGGGCCTCTGCCTTCACCCAACAGGGCGTGGTTCCCAGCTCTGCTGCACATTAGACTCATCTAGGGAGCTTTCAGAACTCCTGACGCCCAGGCTGCATCTCATAGCAGTTAAACCAGGATCTCTGGGGGGTGAGTCCCAGGCATCAGTATTTTTAAAGCTCTTGAAGTGATTCCAACAGGCAGCCATGACAGAGAACCACTGCTGCGGATACACTTACATTGGTTTGACTGATAATCATTATAGTCTTCTCAGCACTTTTATAATTCAAGTTCAACTTAACCTTATATTTCATCCAAACCACAATGAATTAAAACCTTCCCCTTCGTGTTCTTTATTTACTTGATGGCAATTACATCTTATGTCTGTTGGCTATGACAACCTGCTTTAACTGTGTATTTAAAATACTACTATGCAATATGCCAAATATAAAGATGCATATTTGCATCTTGCCCAACACATTTACTCTTGTGGGCTTTGTCAGATCATTTTGGCACAAAGATTATAGAGCCAGGGTTTCCCCATGGGAAACACCTTTAATTCCCTGAAGTAAGGATTCGGGAAATGATGACAAGACTTTTTCAGTTGCCACGTGTATAAAAAGGGATAATGGCTATCACCAAGGAAACAGAGACCTCCCAGCATAGAAATGTGAATTTATCAAAGGTAGTCTTAAAAATTTTAAATACTAGACACTGAAGAAAATAATTTAAAGTGTGATATATAATTAAATTAAAAATGGATATATGAGATGCAACACAATTGAGCTGATTCTCCCACCCATGGACATTTAGGTTGTTTCCAATTTTTCACTATTATAAAATGATGTCACAGCCCTATAAATATTAATATGAAAAAAAGGTTTGCTCTATAGTGTCAATGGGAAAAAAATCAGGTTATAAGATGGCATTTAGAGTTTGCTGTCTTTTTTTGGTGAAAAACATATGCAACTTTGAACAAATGTTTATTAAAGCACTTATTTCAGTGCATTGTTAGTATCTGAAAATGTAGACGTCTATTTCCCTGTCTAGGCTGAGTTCCTGCAGGGTGGAAACTGCTTATTCATATACACTCTACAAGTATTTGTTGAATGAAATAGAATATTTTCCATTTCTAGAATGTGCAAGATAATGATTAAGTTCCGATTTTGTGAGAAAATATGCTCTGCTTTCCTCCGAGCTAAACTTTCAACCAGAGGAGAGAGAGGCAGAGACTTTTAAGGGACTAGGGTTTGGGGCAGATATTTTGGGTTTGAAAGGTGGGATTTACATCATTTGGTCTCATTCCTTTTAGTAAAGGCAGAAGAACGGCCATTTACTGATGGAATGGAGTGGAAAATAAATAACTGAACCCTTTGGAATAAAAGACAAAGTTTTATACAAGGTATGTTTAAAAGAATTTTGGAATTGTGAAGGCTCAGTTGACATTGTTGACTCTGGGGTCTCAAAAATCCCCAGTGGTCACGATACAGATAATTAAAAGATCTTTTGTGCCAAAGTAAAGCCAGAGAAGGGAAAATAGCAAACTGTATGGACACTGGGTGTGGCATCCTCCCAGCCTGCTTTCCTGGCCCCTGCCCACATCGCCCCATCTGAGATGGCACGGGTACCTGGGGGATGTAGAAGAGCCCCAGCAGGTTTGCCACCGCTGTGGAGATGCCTGAGCCAGTTGCTCCCACCACCGCGATAGTAGAGGGGATGTGCTCTGAGCAGTTGCAGAACTCATCAAGGTTCAAAGAATCGATTTTGTTCTGGGCCACAAAACTCAGGGTGGCTTCCAGGGCTTTAGAAACAGTGTTGCAAGTGTCGAATATCCTGTATCCCAGGGTCATGTTGGGAAGAAGGGCTGGGCTGCTGTTTATTTCCTCTATGGCAAATATCATAGCTTGTAGCCAGCGAAATCCTCGGAAATTATACCTGGAAGAAAGAAATGGAAGAAAGCAAGAGGCTTTCTGGTCAACTTCTTTAGAGTACAGACTGGGCAAAGCTGGTCTGAGCCTCATTCCATTACTCTGGTTTCATGACGTTGTGTTTTTTGAGACTCAAAGTCCTCTCTGTAAAATGGGGATAACACCTACTTCAGAGGGTGGCTGTGAGCATGAGATAATTATGCACAATTCTCAGCATGGTGCCTCACACAGAGTTAGGGACTAATAATAACAAGGATTGTGGTTAGTAATAGAATGAATCATTTGTATCTGCCTTATCCAACAAAGAATTTGAAATAACTGATATGAGGTACTTTAGTAAAAGTAATACAGAGATTAAAAAAAAACAAAAAAGGACCAGGGAAAATATAAATAGATTAGGATTTGAATACATAAGAAGCTAAAAATAACTTCAGATTTGCAGAGTCACAAATTTAAACTGACATTCCTGGAGGTAGAAGAGGAAAGGGAAATGAGTGATATCTTCATAAACAAACAAGCAAACAAATATTATGCATAGGAAGGCTATTCACAAACAGTGGTCACTTCTGGGTGGTAGAATGATGAGTTTTAAAATTGTGTGCTTTTGTCTTTATACTTTCTATTTTAAAAAATAAGCATGCATTGCTTTTCAAAGAACATTATTTTAAATAAAAATCAAGCAAATTAACAAAGAGAAACAGGGTCAGTGACATAGTTTTCACTCTTCCAGGACACAGCACATAGTGAGAGCTTGATAAATGTTCTGAATCAGTGTATCAGCCCCCAGAGAAGAAAAGCTAACAAGTCTGCAGGTTCTCTCTTTGTATCGTGGGTTTCCTGACTTGAACTCAAAGGCAGGGGGAAAGAAATACAAGCTGTTATACTTCACTGTATCAGTTAGGTTCCTAAATGTCCTGGTCTAACTTTTAATGTGACATTTTCTCTTAGTCATTTTCTTCATGTTTCCTTCATTTATTTATTTTTTTTAAACCTGCAAAGTTATGAAGATCTATTACTGAATTTTTCATTACCTAAAACATCTATGCTGCTAAACTGATTTTCCTATCTTTCTTTAATACAATTTATATATATATAATTTCAGAACAAGCTCTTGCTTGATCTCAGGTATGTATGTGCCACCTGCACAACTCTGTCCAGCGAGGGAACAACAAAAAGGATATTTGTCCACATGGGTTAAGTGAAGGATATAAACAGCATCAGTGAAATTCTACACTTAGTTTTTCTGCACTCATAAAAAAATGTGAAAATGTTATCTAATTTGTGAGCCCTCATTAGAACACGAGCAGAAATCCAGTTTTGTTGGAATGATTCTAGTTTTCATTTTCATTTTCTAGCTATCAGGAAGACCAAGGGAAAGTGCTGGATCCCTTCTGGAAGTTGCAAATCTCAAGAGAAAGTGCTCTTCTCTCTTACAAGATGGGTCAAGACTTGAGGTGCAGTAATGGTCTCTGATGTCCAGATTAAGGCAGGTGATATACAGCCCTCTGTACTCTGCAGAAGTCAGATAGTATTTGAAGGAATCGTACCTAGTGTTAGACGCCATATTCTAAGAGTCATGATAAATTAGGGAACATCAGAGAGAGGGCATCCAGAATGGTGAGGGTCTGAAAATCATGTCATGAAACAATTATTTAGAAAACTATTTGGTCTGGAAAAGAAATGATTCAAGGGGGCATGTTAGCTGTCTTCAAATGGCCGAAGAGAGAGTCCAGTGAGAGAGTTAAGATGGATTCTGTGTTTCTCTATCTATGTAGATGGATTCTGTGTTAGCAGGGGGATTTCAGCGCTCTATAAGAATTCTAATGGGAGTGATTCCAAATGCTACGGGCTGCATTTTGAAGACGCCCAGGTCATGCCAGCCACTGAAGTTTCTTTCAGCTTTAAAATCCTTAAAAAAAATAAGAGTGAGGCAGCCAACACTCAGGTATTATGACCACTGGGGCACTTAAGGTCATTAGGAGATTTTACTACTCAGGTTTGCAAAACCTACAATAAATTTCTTTCTAGGCACTTGGTCTTCCATTAAGTAACACAGCCTCCAGATGAACAATGATGACTGAGTTACCAAGTGACCAAGCACGGCTCCAACAGGCCATGGATTTTTCTATTCAGTATCTTTGACATTTTATTTTTGGAAAAATTTCTTTTAAAAAAATGAGGGGGGGTAATAATAAGCTTCAGCATGGTTACCAATCACCATTTTTGAAAAGAGAGAACCAACTTTGCAAAAATTATTTTGTGTTTGGTACCGCTTTTCTCCAACCACCAGGAGGAGAAAAGACTCTCCAAGGTGGCTCCTGACCTTACCTGATACATTCCACAGACTCCGGCCTCGACTTTAGATCTTGATCTTTGGCTGCTACTCCAAAATGAATAGGAAAGAGCCCCCCGAGGATAATGTCCCCTTTCTTCTGGGCTCGCTGGTCAGGCCCATAGGCAGAAGTACACCAGGTAAAAGCCAAGAAGATCCAACAGCAGCTATAAAATGCCATAGTTCTGCTTTCTCTCCAGGGGGAGGGACAAGGGTGCTGGTGGTCTGGGGGCCCCTGAGAACTTTCCCCCTTGGTGTGACTTACTCCCTGCGGTGGAGGCACATGTCTACAGAATTAGTAACAGAATGGAACCGTGGTGTTTGAATTTCCACTTCTGCCCTCTCCATTGCAGACTAGTGAGGCGGGTGTTTCTTGAGTCTTCAGAAGCCACATCATGCAGAGACCGCCTGTAGTACTTTCTAAAAACAAAAGAGAAACAAAATGAATTCAACTAAGCCTAAATCCCATGTTGTTATGATGACTGAAACAGAAGTGGCTCAGAATTTCCATTTAGGGAGGCTGAGGGGTAGCAGGTGGGGAGGGCATGGCTTTGAGCCTCATTTTTATAGCACTTCACATAAGATACAGAACATTTCAATTGCCCGTATCAGAGAAGGACCATGTTCATTTTAAAGAGGCCATTGATAAGCTGAGGCCTTCACTGATGTTGCCACTGGATTTTAATCCCTTCATTCTTCCATGTGAATAATGCACAGAATTGGCCTAGTGGTAGCAGTTCCTTGTATTATACTACTAGCAATGCTATTTTATTCAGCATATATGTTTGTATGGAAAATACAGAATGAGTCATAGTTAAGTTTAAATCTGACTCCAAATCAAACAAAAATGTCAGAGAAGGCCACTTATTTTTATTTATTATTGTACTCCGCCCCACCCCCCCACGCTTTCGGGGCCTCCTCATCCCAGATTTCTGGTTCCATTTATAATATGATACTCCATAAACCTTTGAAGAATAGTTCTTGGAAAGGATGCAGATAAATCAAGTGTTGGATTGTGTTCTACCAAACTCTACAGCTGGATCTAGGGAATGGTCCTTCTGCTTCAGCATCATTATCCTAGTAGGAACTCTCTGCTCTTCCCGCTCCGCACACTATCTCACCCACTCTGTGGGTCAATTACTAATTACCAGTTACATGCCAACGTTGACTGACTGTACAGCCTCTCCTGAGGTTCAGGCCCAAGCACTGAACTGTCGACTGGACGTCGCCACCTGGATGTCCCACAGGTGCTTCCAACTTGACAGACTCTAAACTCACCTTCCTCCCAACCTTGTTCCTCCTTCACTGTCTTCTTCCTCAGCAAACGACATGCCATCCACAAAGACACAAAATAAGGAATCCTCCTTACCCCCTCCCTCTTCTCATCATCATCCTTCATATTCAAACAACCACCACGTCCTGTAGACTCTACTTCCTAAATCTCTTTGGAATCCATCCACACCTTCCCATTTCCAAGGCCATCTTAAGTACCCTGGCATTTCTTACTTGGGTTTATGCAACTATTTCCTGACTGGTCTTCCTGCCTTCAGTCTTGTCCCTTTGCAACCCACCTCTGCAAGTCTTTGGATGCCACGGAACAAGTGGTTTGAAGCACAGGCTCTGGAGTTAAACCTGGCTTTGAATCACAGTTCCACTATTTCCTAACATATGACTTTGGGAAAGTCACTTAACCTCTGATCTCAATAAAATAATGCATGGAGAGCCATTAGCACAGTGTAACTAGTAAACCCACAGGAAATGCCAGCTGTAATGAATACCTTTCCAGCCTCACTCTTGCTAGTCTTCCCTTTGAACTCCATACTGCATGCACACTGAATTTCCTTTAGATCCTCAAGTTAGGCCTTTTAAAAAATTCTCAGACCTCACACATGCTGTTCCACCTCCTTGGTCCCTCTGGAAAACATCTACTTGTCTTTTAGCTTTCAGACGTCCATAACTGTTGGAGCATGGCTTGGTCAACTGTGGGGTCGTTGTGTGAATGGAGAAAAGAACTCCTATGGGCCAGATACAACCTTGTACCAAGATGTCCAGCTTGGGGAGTGGAGCACAGGTTGGATTTCTACCCACACTAACCCCTCAGTTGTGCAGTGAGCAACTTTGAGGACTCCTTAAGGAGGCCTGCCCTGGACTCTCAGATTAGGTAGGTCCACCTGTTATAGTCTTTTATATCTTGGATTTTGGAGTTCCTCTCTTGGAAGATTGATCATACTTTGTTATAATTAGATGCATAAATGTCTGATTCCAGACCCCAAGCTCTTAACCATTGTCATATGCTGCCCCTGCCCCTTAGGAAGGGGGCTCTTTCTCCTACAGCGTTACAAGTAGAGGGTGCTGGGCCCCGAATGGAAGGAGCACCCCAGCAGACACTCAACAGTCACAGAACTGTCTGAAATAACATCTGAACATCCATGACCATCCTAGTTCTCTGACTCCAGTCCTGCTCTTAGATTTTTGGCTTCATTTCTTAACCTTGGTCATATATTCATTCATACATTTAATAAGTACATGTGCTAAGGACTGGAAATATAAAGGTACCACACACATCATGTTCCCTGCCCTCAGGAGCTCCCCAGCCAGTGGGCAGAAGTTACCTCAACATTCAGAAGAGAAAAAAATATATATAGTATATATATTGTTGTTTCCAATGACTAAATTCAACTTTGCTCCCCAGTACTTAGCACAATGTCTGAAATAGTAACTGTTGAATAAATGCTGGTTGAATGCATGCACAAGAAAAGAAAATACTTTGGGAGGAGACAGAAACTAGCATTTATTGAACGAAGCAGAGTGTCAGGTCCTTTAAACATCCAATGTATTTTAAATTTCACAGTGGTAAAGAGGGCCATACAAACTCCACTTTTGAGATGGGGGACTGGATTACTCAAGTGAGAAATTCTGGCACTTGAATTAAGAAGGCCTCAAGAACTCAGAATATTAAGGAGTCCTGTGTGGTGTACTGAATTAGGAAAGGGAACATTATAACTGGCTAGGGGAAGTCACTGAGACCTGTTAGATTTTTCCTGTGAAAGATTAACTACTTGGAGAAGTTTATTAACTTCATTAGTCCATTCAAGAGAAAATTCATGGCAAGAAGTAATAGATGAAGGAGAGATTTCAGGTCAATTTGTAGCAATTAACTCCTCGAGTCTAATGTAGTCTCCAAACCACCCTTTTTAGTCCAATTACCAGGGTCTAATTTGCTTTCAAAGATGAGAATCATTCTAGATCCTCCCTGCCCCTTTCCTCCCATCTCCGATTACGTTGTCTTGTTAATCCTACCATCTCTCTCCACTCTGCCTTCCCTCTTCCATTCTTGTTGCCACTGCCTTTGCCAGACTCCCATCACCCCCCACCAACTTCCTAATCGCAAAAGCTTTCTTTTCTTTCTACCTCACTCCTCCTACCCACTAGATATCGACAATCACAGCAGTACCAAGCATGACCCTAGCACAATGGATTAATTATTGGGTTCATCATTGTGACTTCAGTTTGCAACAATTAGAATACAAAAGTTCTTGAATAATCACTAACATTTCAGTTTTAGGATCTATGGTAGAGATTTTAAATTGTATCCCTTGTACCATACTCCTTTTATGGCACAGTAAAATAGTTTTTAGCTGGACAAGGTTGTCCAGAATAAAGACTACTTTCTCCAACTTCTTTTATAATTATATGTGGTTATATGACTATGTTTTGGCCAGTAGGATGTAAGCTGAAGTGCCCTGAGGCAGCTTCTAGGAAACTTTGCTTAAGAGACAGTTGGCGTTTGTTCTTTCATCTGCCTTCCTCCATTCTGCTGCATGGAGGTGGGTGTGACAGCTGGAGCCCATATTGAACCATAAGCCTATCCCAGGGAATGATGGTGCCATGAGCTGAGGATTTCATGGAGCAGAAGCTCTATATCAGACTGTTCCTGGACTTTGACATGACAGAGAAAAAAAGCTTCTAGCTTGTTTAAGCCACTGTTATATTTTTCTCACTGCAGATATATTAACAGTATCTATCCAAGAGTCACAAATAAACTCATTCGTTCTCTTTATTGTAAGTTCATTTCATTTAAATCATATATAATCATGTTTACCCTCCTGCAAAAAGTATCGCAAATACAAGCTGAAGCTAGTATTTGTTCTTTATCTCAATGGCAGATATGTTTGGAAGAAGAAATGACCCGTGGAACAGCTGGTTTTACATTTAGAACGTCCTTGAAATCACGAGGAGTGTTTCAGTACTGACAGGTGATTGATTGATCATTGAGCTCCTCGTCCAAGAGACTTGGAATGGGAGGTCAGAGCAGACTGGTCTATGGTTCCACAGGTTCATGAACTTCTAAATTCATGCAACTATTTATTCACTCAAGAAACATTGATTGAGCTCCTCTATTTGCTAGACACTAGGGAGTACAAGGTACTGAGGAAAGAAAGTTGAGACAGTTGCCTTCAATGTGCTCATGGTTTAAAAGGAGACAGGAAGATGTATTATAATTACAGTGATACAAAACCTAGGGAGAGGCATGAACTAAGCATTGAGAAAGTACAAAGGGAGGAGTGACATTCTTTCTGGTGACTGCCAGGACACTGAATTAACTCAAGGTGGGGACTGGAAGCTTCATGAGGGTAGGGCCCGTCTCTTTTTCTCATTGTAGCCTGGTACCAAGCACAGTGCCTAGAGCTTAGTAGATTCTCCACAGATATTTGCTGAATGAATGAATAAATCATAGCCAGTAAAAACCAGGGGCTGGTTGGGCAATTCTAGGACAGAAGAGGGAAGGGGTCACCCCACAAGACTGAAGGTTCCCAAGGGCAGGGGCCTCATCATGATCACAGTTGCAACCCCAGTATGGAACAAGGAACCTGGTACTGAATGATGATGCTCAAAAAAATCTGTTGACCTTGCATTTGTCCAAAAAGCTGGATGGCTCATCCAAGTTCCAGAGTTAAGGACAAATTAACACAGGATAGCAAGGCAAGGTTAGGGTCAACACAGCAACACTTCAATGCTCATCAAAGTAAAAACCCTGGCTTTTGCCCCTTGGCTTTAACATTTCTGGAAATTGTGTAACTCTAGAGCAGAATGATTTTGCCCGCATTCCAGCTAGAGAAAAGAGAGGCACAGATCTTCTGAACATAAAACCACTCTTGTAAATTAGAAGCACAACAAGCTCAGAAGCTACAATTTCTCAATTCCTAGGCTGCAGAAATAAACATTCTAGGTTGCCTGGAAAGAAGGTGGCAACCAAAATTGATTTCCAGTAGAGATCATTTATCATTTATCTTCGCGGGGTGAGTACACTGAGTTGTCTCCAGTTTACTGTGATCTTTGCCCTCTTTTGTCACTCTGATCACAAAGAATACTAACAGTAAGGCGTGAAGCCACCACTGCAGAAAGGTGAAACGTGTATGTTTTAATGAGGGTGAACAGGGAAAAACCTGAGGAAGTTCAACCAATAATCATGAAACCCCGCGTAGCTGGCTCTGGTTACAGCTTTCTTTACCTCTTGCTGAGGGGACACATCCACAACGTGGGTTATTCTATGCACCTGGTACACATTTGCCAAAGAATTAGGGACATCTCATCTGTCATCACAAACGTGACCGTCCTCAGTTCTGTGTCAGACTCCATGCTTTCTATATTAAAGCAAGGGGCATCTTGTTTCACAATGAGGGCCCTCTTTCAGCACTGGGGGAACACAAACTACCAGGTCACACTCGGCTTCCTCCCTCCAGCCCTGCTTGCTGCCCGCCCGCCAGCTGCACAGGGTCTTACCCTCCATCTCCCCGACGACAGGTGTGACTTTTGGAGAGTCCATGCCTCATTTAGCTCTGGTAATGGCTTAACTGAGTCGGAAAAATGCAAGGACAGGAGCGTGATAAAAACCAGCTGAGTTGGGTCCCCGTTAGTCACTGGAAAAAGCTATCAGGGGAGGGAGGTGAAAAGATGAACGAGAATGGGGAGGAGCAGCACGGGGGGCGCCGAGCAAAGTGGGGCAAAGAGCGGAGACTAAGCAAATAAAGAAGACAAATAGGAGAGGAAACGAACATTCATTAATGTTGTACTATGAGCTCCTTGACGCAGGGCCTGGTCTGTCCCTTTCATGGCCTGGGGACCTGGAGGGGCTCCGTAAAGGACTGAATATGTGTGGAGTGCCCATGGCATGATACACTGTCTTAGCAGTTTATGAAACTATTGCAAGAAGAAAGAAAGTGACAGAAGAAGAAAAAAGAAATAGAATGGGTGTTGAGGGGGGTGAACAATTAAGGTTAAAAAATGACAAGAAATGCTCATTTCTCCAGTCCAGAATCTGGTGAGTTGAAAGTAAGTGGACACTAGCTTTGGGCATTAACATTACTAATGCAGGGTGGTCCAGGACTGAGTGAGTTCCCTGGGACATGGGACACGAGATACGAAATTCCTTGGCCTGAAACATTTGCCTTAAGTAAGCTCTGCTGATGGATATGTTGATACCCACAGACTTAATGAAACGGTTCAAAGACATGCAAGTCATGTTTTTATAAAGAAAAATGCCAGAGCTTCAAGTCCTACGTGAAAGTAATGTTTCTGTGGGATAACATCCTCAGTATTGCCTTTCAAAATCGCAAGGAACCCTGACTACCCAGGCTGGAGTTTTTCAGCCTGGTGTCCCAAGACGTGCCACCGCAAGGTATTCTCGTGTAAGATAAGTTTGGGAATTGATGTGTACTCTGTGCCAAAGGGCACATTCACCTCCTAAAGGCTCTTGTAAGACCTGCAGTAAAGAAAACTGCTTAACTTTAACCCACTCATTCCCAAATTTATTTCGGCCTGGGACACTTTTCTCCCTTCAGGACACTTGCTACAATGCTGTGAAATACAGGCTTGGGAAGTGCTCACCTAGTGGAAAGCATAAAACCCTTCACCTGAGCCTCTCCCAGTCTCTCTGGATGCATTTTTGAATGGAGAGGTATGTCTGCCTCTCACTGGACCTAATATTTTTTGTAACCCCAGCTATGACATTCCAAAGGGTAGTACCAGAAAGAAGGAAGGACTGAGGTGGGTTAGGTGAATGCGGATGTATTCTGCCGTCATTCTCTGGTCTCAGGCATATATGCCCTCTCTTTTCTCCTGAGGGAGTTTCTGCTATACTCAATAAGTTTGCACACTGAGCCCTTCTCTCTCCTACTTGTAGCTCTTCTGGCCTTGCATTGTGTCCACCTACAAGGACCATTGGAACATGCAGTGGAGTGCTGGCAAACCAGCTCTCTGAAGGCAAAAAGAAAAAACAAAAACAAACAAACCCCCAAATGCCCTGACTTGTAGTGTTTGCTGAATATTCCCACCATGGCTAATTTCAAGCTACCAATGGTTTAACAACCAACTTGCAAAAATCCTTGATATTTAACCATTGCCTCTTGTGAACTGGTAGAACCTATTGCAGCATACCACTGGGACACATCTCTAAGTAAGTAGAATCCTGGTCTTTGGAAAAACTGCCCAAATTACTTTATAGGCATTGTGAATCTTTTATCTCCTTCTGTTTCCATCTCTGCTCCAACTGTTAGGAAGCTGCAAGCCAAATTTGTGGCCCAGCTCTAGCTAAGATAGAAACCAAAAGTGTGCATTTTTGTGTTCTAATATTACTTATAGTATTACTTTTTATTTCTTACTGCTCTTATTTCACTCCAATTTCCTCACCATGTTAAATCTTTCATTTTTATAAACAGTGATAGGGATATAAACACACAGACAAACAAACAAATGCATAAATCTAGAG